AAATCGGGAACCCTCCCCCCACAAAAGGAGGGGACCCTCAGGTGGGCGAGACCCCCAAAAATGACCCCCCAAAAATGCCCCCCCCAGACCCCCCCGAGGAGGAGGATGAGGATGGAGTGTTTGACACCCACCTGTGACAGGTGAGCCCCCTCCCCAAAATGGGGGTGCTGGGTGTTAGGGGACCCTCATATTTGGGGTTCAGACACCTGGGACCCCTCCCCAAATTGGGGGTCCGGGTTGTTGGGGTCTTTCGAATTTGGGGGGTTCAAACATTTGGGATTCCCCCCCCCCCCAAATGCTGTTGGGGTCCCTCAGATTTGGAGGGTTCAGACACCTGGGACCCTCCCCAAATTGGGGGTCCTGGTTGTTAGGGACCCTCAGATTTGGGGGGTTCAGACACTTGGGACCCCCCTCCCCAAATTGGGGTCCTGGGCATTGGGGTCTCATATTTAACCACCCCCCCCCAAATTTTCACAGGGTTCTGAAGGCTCCGGACCCCCCTGACCCCCCCTGACCCCGAGGATTTTGGGGGGGGGATTTGGGGGTCCTGACCCCCCTTCCCCCCGGTATTTTGGGGGGGTTTTGGGGGGGCTCAGCGTGGGAATAAACTCCGTGTCCGTGGTGTCCGGCTGTGGGGTCTCTGTGGGGTCTTTGGGGCGATATTTTGGGGAAGTTGGGGGGGATGTTTTTTTGGGGGGCTTCGGAGCGACTTTTTGGGGGATTTGGGGTGATATTTTTGGGAGGGGATTGCGGCGATTTTGGGGGGATTTGGGGTAATATTTTGGGGGATTTGTGGCTATATTTTCGGGGGGCTTTGGGGCGATATTTTGGGGGGGGGTTAGGGCGATATTTTGGGGGGCATTTGGAGCGATTTTTGGGGGGATTTGGGGTGATATTTTTGGGGGGGTTGGGTGATGTATTGCGGGGATTCGGAGCGATTTTTGGGGGATCTTGTGGCAATGTTTTCGGGGGGTTGGGATAATTTTGGGGGGATTTGTGGCTATATTTTCGGGGGGCTTTGGGGCAATATTTTGGGGGAGGTTTGGGGTGATATTTTTGGGGGGATTAGGGCGATGTTTTTGGGGGAGTTTGGGGTGATGTTTTGGGGGGCATTTAGGGTGATATTTTTGGGGGGGGTTTGGAGCGATTTTTTTGGGGGGTTTTGGGCAATATTTTGGGGGATTTGTGGCTATATTTTTGGGGGGGGGTTGGAGCGACATTTTTGAGGGGGATTTGGGGTGATATTTTTGGGGGGGGGTTGGGGCGACATTTTTTGAGGGGGATTTGGGGTGATATTTTTGGGGGGTTCGGGGCGTATTTTTGGGGGGGGTTTGGAGCGATTTTTTTGGGGGGAGTTTGGGGCGATTTTTAGGGCAATATTTTTGGCGGGGGGGTTCGGTCATATTTTTTCTTGGGGCGGGGGGGGGGTTTCGGAGCCATCACGGATCCGCTACCGAAGGGCGGGGGGGGTCCGTGGGGATGGATTTTTAGTGGGTCGGGGGTCCATGGGGTGTGTGGGGGGGGTTGAGGTTGCGGGAAGGATGGATGGGGGGGGGAGGGTTGGGGGGGGAGGGGGGGTTGCGGGCGCGCGCCGCTCCGGAGCCGTGCGCGTGCCCGGGGCGGGCGGGGGCTGCGGGAGCGGCGGGAGCGGCGGGAGCGGGCCGGACCGCCCGGGGCAGGTACCGGGGATTGGGGGGGGGGCGGGTACCGGAATGGGGGTGGGGGGGGTACCGGAGATTGGGGAGGGGGAACGGGGACAAAACCGTGGGGAGGGGGCGGCGGGGATGGAGGGGGGGGGGGGACACGGAGGGGACATTGGGGGGGTAAGCAGAGGGGGGTGGGGGGGGATGCACGGGGGGTTTAGGATGGGGGGATGTGGGGGGGACGGGGGAGGATGATGAGGGTACGGAGGAGGGGGATGGGAGGGGGTTAGGAATGGAGGGGGGGGGATTTTGGGGTCTCAAGAAAGGATTTGGGGGGGATTTTGGGGGTCGCATCCTCTCCCCATCACCACGCAGGGTTTTGGGGGGGCTCTGCTGAAAGGGGGGGGAGGGGAAAGGCCGGGGCTCCCCCACCCCGGGGAGGGGCCGCATCCCCCCCCCCCCCCTCCCCTCCCCACTGCAGGGTCTGGGGGCCGCATCCCCCCCTCCCCTCCCCCTCCCCTTTGCGCACCCCCCCCCGGAATTCGGGGAGCTCATCCCGCCCCTCCCCCACTGCGGGGGGCTCATCCAAACCCCCCCAAAATCCCCCCAAAATCCCCCCCAGACCCCCCCCGGCCGCGGGGCCTGCGCTGCACGCGCGTGTGAACCGGGCCCGGCCCCACGGGCGGCGTCACGCGGGGCACACGCGTGTGAACGGGGTGGGGGGGTGGTCGGGGCCATCTGGGGGTGCAAAGGGTCTGGGGGGGCGAGAAAACGGGGGGGGGCACGTGGGGTCTGCGGGGTTTGGGGTGCACACGGGTGTGCAAGGGGTGTGTGAGCAGTTTTGGGGGTGCACACGGGTGTGCAGGGGGTGCGTGTGCAGATTTGGGGGTGCAAAGGCTGAGTGGGTGCGGTTTGGGGTGCACACGGCAGTGCAGGGTGTGTGTGTGTAATTTTGGGGTGCACACGAGTGTGGAAGGGGTGTGTGTGAGGTTTGATGGTGCACACGGGTTTGCAGGGGGAGTGTGCGAGGTTTGGGGGTGCACGCGAGCGTGCAGGGGGTGTGTGTGTAATTTTGGGGTGCGCACGAGTGTGCAAGGGGGGTGTGCATGGTCTGGGGTGCACATGGGTTTGCAGGGGGTGGTGTGTGTAATTTTGGGGTGCACACGGTGTGCAAGGGGGTGTTTGTGCAGTTTGGGGGTGCACACGGGGGTGCGTGAGGTTTGCGGGTGCACAGGTGTGTGCAAGGGGTGTGTGTGTGTGGTCTGGGGGGTGCACACGAGTGCGCAGAGGTTGTGTGAGCAATTTTAGGGTACACACGAGTGTGGAAGGGGGGTGTGTGAGGTCTGGGGGTGCACACCGGTTTGCAGGGGGTGTGTGTGGAATTCTGGGGTGCTCACGAGCGTGCAGGAGTTTCACGTGTAATTTTTGGGGTGTGAACCAGTGTGTGAGGGAGCTGTGCCCACTTTTGGGGTGCACACGAGTGTGCAAGGGCTGTGTCTGTCCAGTTTTGTGGTGTACGTGTAGGGAGGGGTGTTAAACTGGGAGCACACGAGCGTGCAAGGGGTGTGTGAGGTTTTGGGGTGCACACGAGCGTGCAGGATGTGTGTGTGCGGATTTGGGGTGCACACGATGGTGCAGGGGGTGTGTATGAGGTTTTGGGGTGCAAAACCAGTGTGTGAGGGAGCTGTGTCCAGTTTTGAGGTGCACACGAGCGTGCAAAGGCGTGTATGTGCAATTTTGGGTTGCATGCGATCCTGGCCGTGCTTTGGGGTGCGCGTGTGCAAACCCGGGGTGCACACGCGTGTGCAAGGGGGGGGTTCAGGCCACATTGGGGTGTTTTAGTGGGGGCACCTGAGCGTGTGCAGGTGTACAAGGGGTGCGGGGTGAGCGTGCAAGGGGTGCCCACCTGTGCGGGGTGGGGGGCGTGGCTGGGGGGCTGCGTGTGCAAGGGCGTGTCTGTCACACCTGGGGGGGCACACGCGTGTGCAAGGCGTGTCCGTCACACCTGGGGGGTTTTCGGGGGTCCTTTTGAGGGGGGGTCCCCGCACCCCTGGGTGCCCCCCCCGAGTCCGCCCCCTCCCCGTGACCTTCAGGGGGACACGGGGGGGACACGGGGCGGACACGGGGGGGACACGGCCCCTCCCCCACCCACAGCCCCCCCAAACCTCCCCCGGGGGGGCTCAGAGGGTTTGGGGGGGGGGGATCCCCCTATAGACCCCCCCCATAGACCCCTCTGACCCCCCCCGGGGTGTCCCATGGGTCTGGGGGCTCCTCAGTTCCCCCAGAGCCCCCCCCAGGACCCCTCAAGGGGGGCTCAGGTGTCCCCTCCCCCCCTTTATCAACAATCAGCGATTGATAATTGATTAATTAATTAATTAATGACCCCGGGGGGGAGGGGCACGGACACCCATGGATGGGGAGGGGGCGCTCCCAATCCCGTGTCCCGCCCCCCCCCAAGGATCCCTGGGGGTCTCTGGGGGTTCCCCCCCCACGGGATGGGGGTGATAAGCGGGGTGATAAGGGGGGGGGGGCGCTGTCATCCCCCCCTCCCCTTCCAGGTGCAGCAGTTAATGTGATTGGCTAATTATGCGCTGCATGTTAATGAGCCCCATTAGCCAACGAGGGGGGGGGGTTTATAAATAACCCGGGGGCTCATTTGCATAATGATAAGGCCCGGGTTGCCGCGGTGACCGACCCCCCCCCCCTCCCCAACTCATCACGGGGTTAATTAACATGCTGATAACGAACGGGGCGGAGGGGGGGGGGGCTCTGCTTGCCCATCCCCCCCCCCATTCCAGAGCCCCCCCCTCATTGTGTTTCCCCCCTCCCCAGGTGCCTCCGGACCCCCCGGCCAGGCTGGGGCCGCCCATGCGGCTCTGAGAGGACGGGGGTGGCCGGGCCCCCCCAGGGCCCCCCAGGGCCCCCCCAGACCCGCCCAGGCACCATGACCTGTCCGGCCGCTGAGGGACACCCCAAACCCGGGGGCCACCGAGAGACCAAAGCCCACCTGGGCTCCGTGGCGCACCTGGGCTCTGTGACCCACCTGGGCTCCCAGCACGGCTCCATGGCTCCAGAAGGTTCTGAGGGACACCAAGAGACCAAAGCCCACCTGGGCTCCATGGCCACCAGAGGATCCTTGGCCAGCTGGACCTCTGCGGTCAGCCAGGACCACCGAGAGACCAAGGCCCACCTGGGCTCTGTCGCCCACCTGGGCTCTGTCGCCCACCTGGGCTTTGTGGCCGACCCAAACTTCGTGGGCAACCAAAACTTCGTGGGCAACCAGGACCATGCCAAGCCCGGTGCTGGTGGTGGCTCTGTGGTGCTGTTGGACTCCAAGATCTCCCAAGGCTTTGAGGAGCACCTGGGCACTCGGCTCAGCCAGGTCTCTGTGACACACCTGGCGTCCGTGGCTACCCAGGAGCACCTGGAGATGGAGCTGCATCAGGAACCCGAGGCCAGCCGCGGTTCTGGGGGCAACCAGGAGCACCCAGAGCCCGACACCAACGTCCCCTTGGACTCCAAGGTCAACCAGGGCTCCGTGGGTCATTTAAACCTGAAGGGCCACCAAGACCTCGCCCCTTCCCCGGCCTCCGAGGACCCCCAGGAGCCCAAGGTCACCCAGGGTCCCGTGGCCAACCAAAACACCAAGGTCAACCAAAGCCCCACGGCCCCTCCAGAGGCCAAGATCAACCAAGACCCCGTGGTGTGGTTAGACTTGAGGGTCCACCAAGCCCCCGAGGACCCCCAAGCCCCCCTGGACAGCCCAGCTGGCCAGGCCCTGGTGGCTCTCACGGACTGGAACATCCACCAAGCCCCGGTGGCCGAGCACAGCCCCGCGGACCCCCGAGACACCGAGGCCAAGCCCGGCCCTCCGGACCTGAGGGTCCCCCTGGCCACCACCACCAATGGACGCTGCCCGGGCACCGAGTGCCACCAACCCCTCGTGCCCACCCGGGCCACCCCAGCCCCCTGCCCGCGTGCCCAAATCCCCTCGGGCGCCCGCCTGGGGCTGGTGCTGCTGACGCTGGGCTCGCTCCTGCTGCCCTGCGCCCGCGGCTCGGCGCTGGAGTTCGGCGGCGCCCCGGGGCAGTGGGCGCGCTACGGGCGGTGGGCGCCGGGCGCGGGGGGCCAGCTGAGCTTCCGCTTCAAGACCAACGTGACGCGGGCGCTGCTGCTCTACCTGGACGACGGCGGCAACTGCGACTTCCTGGAGCTGCTGGTGGCCGAGGGGCGGCTGCGGCTGCGCTTCGCCATCGCCTGCGCCGAGCCGGCCACGCTGGAGCCGCCGGCGCCGGTCAGCGACGGCCGCTGGCACGCGGTGCTGCTGACGCGGCAGGCGCGGCACGCGGCGCTGGCCGTGGACGGCGAGGCGCGGGCGGCCGCCGTGCGCTCCAAGCGGCCCGACATGGCCGTGGCCAGCGACCTCTTCGTCGGCGGCATCCCGCCCGACGTGCGGCTCTCGGCGCTGACGCTCAGCACCGTCAAGTACGAGCCGCCCTTCCGCGGGTGGGTGGCCGACCTGCGGGTGGGCGACGCGCCGGCCGCGCTGCTGGGCGCCCAGGGGGTCCGGGGCGACGGCGACGAGCGCTGCGCCCACCACCCGCCCTGCGCCCACGGCGGCCGCTGCACCCTGCGCCGTGGGGAGCCCCGCTGCGACTGCGCCGGCACCGGCCACCGCGGGCCCTTCTGCGAGGAAGGTGAGGGCGCGGCGAGGAAGGAGGGGTGGGGTGGGCGCCGGAGCAGCTCGGGGGTCTCGTGTCCTTGTGTTTCTCCATGGTTTTGTGGTGTTGGGTGTCTCCATGTCTTGGGGTCATCGTGTCCTTGAGGGTTTCTCCATCTCTGTGGTGTTGCGTCGTCACCTTCTGTTGTCACCTCCTTGTGTCTGTCCATGGAGCGTCCATCTTCATGGCTGTGTTTCTGTGTGTCACCATGTCCTCGTGCCCTCCATCATGGTGTTGGGTGGCTTTGTGTTTCTCCATCCATGGTTTTGGGTGTCCTTGTGCTTCTCCACGTCCTCTTGGCCTTGCACGTCCCCATGTCATCATGTGCTCCACACCCCCAGTCCTCGTGTCATCGTGTCCTCCACATCCCCGTGTCCTCCTGGCATTGGGCCTTGGATGCTCCTTGTCCCTCCATGACTTCCCAGTGTCATTTTGTCCTTGAGCTCCTCCATGGCTTTTTGTCCTTGTGGCGTTTGTTGTGTGTCCTTGTGTCCTTCCTGTCCTGGTGGCACTGGACACACCCACAGCGTCTAACTGGTCATTGTCACGGTGGCCTCGTGTCATGGTGGCCTCGTGTCGTGGTGTCCTTGTGTCACGGTGTCCTCGTGTCATGGTGTCCTTGTGTTCTTTCACCCTTGTGGGGTTTCTGTGTCCCTTCTGTGTCCTCCTGGTGTTGTGTCCTTGAGTTGCTCCATGTCCTTGTGTCCTCCTGGTGTCACACGTCCCTCTGACCTCTTGCCCTTGTGTCACCTCGTGTCCTTTCACCCCACTCCCCATGTGTTCTCCAGATTCTCGTGTCCTTGTGTCACCTGTCCTCGTGTCCTCCTGGTGTCACCATCCTTGTGTCCCTGGTGTCCTCATGTCCTGCTGCCATTTCTCACGTCCTGCTGTCTCTCCTCACCCTTGAGATGCTGCACATCCACACATGACCCCCATGTCCCTCATGTCCCCGAGGTCCTCTTGTCCTTCCACGTCCTGGTGTCCCCCATGTCCTCTTGTCCCCTGTGTCCTCTTGTCCCCTCGTCCCTCCATGTCCTCTTGTCCTCCCCGGTGTCCCCCTGTCCCACACCCCTCCATGTCCTCTTGTTCCCCTGTCCTTATGTCCCTTCATGTCCTCTTGTCCCCCCTGGTGTCCCTGTGTCCTCACGTCCCTCCATGTCCTCTTGTCCTTATGTCCTCTTGTCCCCCTGTCCTCATGTCCCTCCATGTCCTCTCATCGCCCCAGTGTCCCCCTGTCCCCACACCCTCAGTGTCCTCCCCCACCCCATTTTCCACCCCCCCGTGCCCTCGTGTGTCCTCGTGTGACCCTGGTGACCCTCTGGGGGTGACACGGAGGTTTGGGGGACCCCCACCCCCGATGTCACCCCCCGTGTTTACCCCTCCCGGTGTCCCCACACGCCCCGGTGTCCCTGCCTGTCCCCACCCCCTGGCACGCCCCTGTGCGATGGCACGCCCCGCCGTGGGCCGGGTGTCCCCGCGGTGACGGTGACGGTGACAGTGACGGTGACGGTGACAGTGCCAGCCGGGCGTGGCCCCGGGGGTCTCTCGTGCCATCCCGCCCTCGTGCCAACACGGGGACAACCACCGGTGTCACCATGGTGACAGCATCCCCTGGTGTCGCCGTGGCGACAGCATCCTCCGGGCGCGTTGCCAGGGCCGGTTGCCATGGCGCCGCCGGGGCTGGGTACCCGTTGCCATGGAGACGCCCGGGCCTGTCTCCCTGGCGACGGTTGTCACGGCACTGCCGGATGCTCCCGCCGCGTCCTTGAGGGGGGACAGCGATGGGGGGGGCTGGAGGGGACTGGGAGGGCCCTGGGGTGCTGTGGGGGGGTCCTGTGGGGTGTGGGGTCCCTATAGGGTGCCCTGTGGGGTGCAAGGGCCTATAGGATGTCCCGTGGGGTGAGAGGTCCTTATGGGATCCCCTATGCGGTGCAGGGGCCCTTTAGGGCGCCCTATGGGGTGTGGGATCCCTCTAGGGTGCCCTGTGGGGTGCGGGGTGCTATAGGGTGCCCTATGGGGTGCAGGGTCCCTGTGGTGTGCCCTATAGGCTGTCCTATAGGGTGCAGGGTCATTATGGGGTGTCCTATGGGGTGCAGGGCCCTTATAGGGTGCCCTGTGGGGTGCTCGGGTGCTATGGGGTGCCCTATATGGTGCTGGGTCTCTATAGGGTGCCCTGTGGGGTCCACGGTGCCTGTAGGGTGCAGGCAGGGCACTACCAGGTGTGCCATGGTGTGCTGGGTCCTTTTGGGGTGCTATGGGGTGCCCTATAGGGTGCTGAGTACCTGTGGAGTGCCCTATAGGGTGCAGGGTCCCTTTGGAGTGCCCTATAAGGTGTTGGGTACCTGTGGGGTGCCCTATAGGCTGCTGGGGTACTATGGGGTGCCCTATAGGGTGCTTGGGTGCCATGGGGTGCCCTATAGGGTGCGGGGTCCCTATGGGGTGCCCTATAGGGTGCAAGATGCCTGTACGGTGCCCTATAGGCTGCTGGGTCACTTTGGGGCACTCTATAGGGTGCAGGGTCCCTGTGGGGTGCCCTATAGGGTGCCCTATAGAGTTTGGGGTGCTAAAGGGTGCCCTATAGGGAACAGGGTCTCTTTGGGGGCGCCCTATAGGATGCTGAAGTGCTGTGGGGTGCTGTAGGGTGCCTTATAGGCTGCTGGGGTACTATGGGGTGCCCTATAGGGTGCCCTATAGGGTGCCCTATAGGATGCAAGGTGCCTGTAGGGAGCCCTATAGGGTACACGGGTGCTATGGGGCGCCGTGAGGGACGTCGGGTGTGCACAGGGCGTGCAAATCCCCACCAGGACAAAGCTCAGGGCGTGCAAATCCCACCGGGGCGTGCAAACCCCTCCCCCCCATCCCATTGTGCCCCGCCCCCAAGGTCAACCCGAGGTCACGGGGTGGGGCCACACGGACGCGGTGGGGGCGGGGCTGGGGGACACACCTGGGCACTAATGGCTCTGCCCCTCCCCCCCTGCTGCCCCCCGGGACCGCCAGAGGAAGAACCCGCGGTGGAAGGTGAGTGGGGGAGGGGATTTTGGGGGGAGGGGCATTTTTGGGGGGGCGGGGATTTGGGGGCGTGGCCGTGCAAAGCGCCCGTGTGACACCTGAAATGGGCGGGGCCTGGCTCAGGTGTTGTGCAAGGGGCGTGCCCCGGCTCCAGGTGTGCAAATCCCGCGGGAATTGGTTCCGAGGGGGCGTGGCCTGTCCGGAGAGGGCGTGGTTTATGCAAAAATAGCAGTGAGGGGCGGGGCTTGGCGCTCGTGCAGAGCGCGTGGCTCCCGTGACGCTCGCGCAGGGGGCGGAGCCGCGCAGCTCCCCCAAGCCATGACGTCACTCACCTTAGGGCCCAATAGGATGGCGATATGCAAATGAAACCGGCACGGCCGAGCCAATGCAGCGTGGGTGACGGGGTGGGGGCGGAGATATGCAAATTACAGCGGTGCCGGCAGCCAATGGGAGGCGGGAGCGATGAGGCTGCCGTGGATTGGCTGAGCTCAGTTCCAAGGGGCGGGGCTTCCACGAGAGTTTGAAAGGGGCGGAGCGTGGTTTATTGAAGGAGGCGTGGCCAGCTCGAGGGGCGAGGCTTGCACGAGGGAATTAAAGGGGCGGTGCGTGGTTTATTGGAGGGGGCGTGGCCAGTTTGAGGGGCGGGGCTTGCCCCCCACGTGCCCCTCACGAGGGCCCCGGGGTGGGGGAGGGTCCCCGCGCCAGGGGCGGCCCCGCCCCCCCCGTGTCTCATCCCCTCCCCCACCCCCGGCTTTTCCCCGAAAAACCTCGCAAAAAGGGGAAAAACCCGCGGGAAAGCGCCCGGGGGGGGGGGGTGAAAAAGGGCAGGGGCGGCGCTTCCCGCGTGGCCCCGCCCCCCCCCGCGCTTGTCCCCGCCCCCCGCCCCTCCCAACCCCCCCCCCCCCCGGCATCGCCCGATGCCGTCACAAGTTAAAGGAGGTTTAAGTTGTGACGGGGCCCCTCCCCCACCCGGGGCCCCTCCCCCACCCCCCAAACCCCCCCCGGGGCCGCTCGGGCCTTTCGGTCATTTTGGGTTTTTTGGTTAATTTTTAATTTTTTTAATTCTGATTTTTTTTTTAAATTACGTTTGTATTTTTTAATTAATTTCTCTTTCATTCCCATTTCCCCCTATTTTTCCCATTTTGCCGCTTTTCCTTTACTGTTTCCTTTTTTTCCTCCCTTTTTTCTTTGATATTTCCCGTTATTTTGGCTTTTTCATTGTTTTTCCTTTTTTTTAGATTCTTTTCCCCTTTTTATTAGTAGTTTTTCTTTTAATATTTTTCCTTTTCTCGTGATTTTCCCTTTATTTTGATTCTTTTCCCTTTATTTTTATTATTTTCCCTCTATTTTAATTATTTCCCCTTTTTTATGGATTTCCTACTCTTCAAGGTACTTCCCCTTTTTAAGTTATTTTCCAGTTCATTATTTTCCTTTTTTTATTCGTCTCCACGTTAATTAATTAATATCTTTGTACTTTTTTATCGTTATCTCCTTATGTAATTATTTTTCCTTTTAAAATTATTTTTTCAATAAATTTGAATATTCCCCCCATTTATATCAGAGTTTTTTTTTTCGCCTTCATTTTCCCCCTTCCCTTTGTTGGTCTTTTTCTTCTTTATTTTCCCTCTTTGATAATTTTCCCTTTTAGAATTGTTTTAATTTCCTCCACTTTTTTTCCCCTTTTTATTTTTCCTTTTCTCTTTTCCCTTGTGCTGCTGACTTCCCCTTTTTATCAATTTCCTCCTTTCCCTTGCTTTGACCCTTTTCACTTTTTTCCTCTTTTTCCTCCCTTTTCCCCGCTTTCACCCCTTTCCCTCCTTTCCTTCCTTTTCCTTTCTTCCTTTTTTTCTCTATTTTTTATATTTTCCCCCCTTTATCTCATTCCCCTCCCTTTCATTTCCTTTCATTATTTTTATTTCCTCCCCCAATTTCCCTTTTCCTTCCGTTTTACCCCATTTCCCCCTTCTCCGAGTTTTACCCATTTCCCGTTTTTTCCCCCAAAATTTTCCCTTTTCCCGCCACTTTTGCTTTCCGTTCTCACGCCCCTCCCCCCACACCTTTCCCACGCCCCTCCCCCACCCCCCCTCCCCCCCAGGTCCCGCCCACCTGCGAGTCACCGGCCAAGGTAAAGACGCGCCCTCGGGCCCCTCCCCCACCCCTCATCACCCTCATCATCCTCGCCCCTCCCCCACCCCCCCATCCCCCCCCCATCGTGTCTGTGGCTCGTGCGACACGGGGGGGGAGGGGCGGCCGCCTCGCACGGGGACGGGGGTGGGGGGGGAGGGGAGGGGGAGGGGAGGGGAGGGGGCGGCCCCTCGTGCAAGAGGGGGGATGGAGGAGGGGCCTGTAGGGGGGTCCCTGCACGGGGTGGGGGAAGGGTCCTTGCACGAGGACCGAGGGGGGGTTGGGGGGAGGGGACACACCTGGGCACACCTGGGCACAGCTGGGCCCCGCCCTGACGCGCCCCTCCCCCAGGGCCCGCCGAGGTCGCCGAGGGGGGGCCCGGCCGCGGCGCCGGTGAGATCCAGCAGGCAGCGAAAGGTCAGTGAGGGTCTGCGGGACCCCCCCGCTGGGCACACCTGGGACCCCCCAGAACCTTCCAGGAACCCCCAAACCCCCAATGCACACCTGGAATCCCCAAACCCCACACCTGTGCACACCTGGGACACCCCAGAACCACCTGGGACACCCCAGAAACTCCCAGGACCACAAACCCCACACCTGTGCACACCTGGAATACCCTAGAACTTCTCAGGAACCCCTAAACCCCCAATGCACACCTGGGACCTCCAAACCCCACACCTGTGCACACCTGGGACACCCCAGAACCACCTGGGACACCCCCAGAACCTTCCTGGAACCCCAAAACCCCAATACACACCTAGAACCTTCCAGAACCTCCCAGGAACCCCAAATCCCCAGTGCACACCTGGGACCTCCCAGAATCACCTGAGACCCCTCAGAAACTCCCAGGAACCCCCAAACCGCACACCTGTGCACACCTGTGACACCCAGAATCACCTGGGGCCTCCCCCAGAACGTCCCAGGACCTCCAAACCCCCAACGCCCACCTGGAATCCCCAAACTCCACACCTGTGCACACCTGGGACACCCCAGAACCTTCCAGGAACCCCCAAACCTCCAACACACACCTGGGACCTCCAAACCCCACACCTGGGCACACCTGGCACCTCCCAGAACCTCTAATGATGATGTCCCCACCACGGTGTCCCCATGTAAGGTCTGGTACAAGACCCCACAGCGATGTCCTTATGGTGATGTCCCCATGCCAATGTCCTCGTTGGAAAGTCCCCATTGCCATGTCCCTGGTGCCAGGTCCCCTCTGGGGTGTCCCCATCACAATGTCCCCATCGCAAGGTCCTTTTTGCGATGTCCCCATGATGATGTCCTCGTTGGAAAGTCCCCATGGCAAAATCCCTGGTTCACGGTCCCCATGATGATGTCCTCATGATGATGTCCCCATCACAACGTCCCCATGACAACATTCCCATCACAACACCCCCATGATAGTGTCCCAATGACAACGTCCCCATCACCACGTCCCCTTGACATCCCCATGACAACGTCCCCATCACAACATCCCCATGACAATGTCTCCATGACAACGTTCCCATCACAATGTCCTCATCACAATGTCCTCATGACAACATCCCCATCATAATGTCCCCATCATAACATCTCCATGACCATGTTCCCGTGACAACATTCCCCTGACATCCCCATGACAGTGTTCCCATGGCAACATCCCCATCACAATGTCCCCACCACAATGTCCCCATCACAACCTCCCCATGACAACATCCCCATGACGTCCGCACCACATCTCCATGACGATGTCCCCATCACAATGTCCCCACCACAACCTGCCCATGCCCCCTCCTCATCACAACCCCCCCACCCCTTTCACCACCTCCCACCAACACCTCCCCACACCACACCCCCTTTGCCAACCTCCCCCTCCACTGTCCCCTCACGGCGTCCCCGCTGTCCCCACCGCCAGGCCGCGCCGAGTACGTGGCCACGTTCCGGGGCAGCGAGTTCTTCTGCTACGACGTGTCGCGGTCGCCGGTGCAGAGCAGCGCGGACGAGCTGGCGCTGGCGTTCCGCACGCGGCAGCGCCACGGGCTCCTGCTGCACACCGGCCGCGCCGCCGACTTCCTCAACCTGTCGCTCAAGGCCGGCGCCGTGTGGCTCGTCATCAACCTGGGCGCCGGCGCCTTCGAGGCGCTGGTGGAGCCCGTCAACGGCAAGTTCCACGACGGCGGCTGGCACCACGTGCGCGTCACGCGCAACCTGCGGCAGGTACGGCGGGGAGGGCGCGGGAGGGGAGGGGTGGAGGGGTGGGTGGTCGCTCGAGGGGTCAGCGCGGGGAGTTCCCCAACTGGGAGCACTGGGAGAGATGATTGGTTTGATCAGCTCCCCAACTGGGAGCACTGGGAGCTTTGGGCAGCTCCCCAACTGGGAGCACTGGTTGGTTTGATCAGCTCCCCAACTGGGAGCGCTGGGAGCTTTGGGCAGCTCCCCAACTGGGAGCACTGGTTGGTTTGATCAGCTCCCCAACTGGGAGCACTGGGAGCCTTGGGATGCTCCCCAACTGGGAGCACTGGGAGAGATGGTTGGTTTGATCAGCTCCCCAACTGGGAGTGATGGTTGGTTTAATCAACTCCCTAACTGGGAGCACTGGGAGCACTGGGAGCCTTAGGCAGTTCCCCAACTGGGAGCACTGGGAGAGAGGGGTGGTTTGGGCAGGTTCCCAACTGGGAGCACTGGGAGAGATGGGTGGCTTGGGCAGCTCCCCAACTGGGAGCACTGGGAGCTTTGGGCAGGTCTCCATCTGGGAGCACTGGGATGGGACTCTTGGCCAACCACCCCAGCTGGCACCACCGAGCATTTTGCTGAGCTCCCCAACTGGGAGCACTGGGAGCACTGGAGGCGATGGGCATCTTGGTCACCTGCCCAACTGGGAGCACTGGTTGTCTTGGCCAACCACCCGACCAGGAAATCCAGTTACCCTGACCAGCTCCCCAACTGGGAGCACTGGGTGTCTTTATCAACCACCCAACTGGGACCACCAGTACCTTGGCCAGCTCCCCAATTGGGAGCACTGGGAGCACTGGGTGTCTTGTTCCAGCACCCAACTGGGAGCACTGGGAATAATGGGTGTCTTCATCAACCACCCATCTGGGAGCACTGGGAGCCTCAATCCAGTCCCCAACTGGGAGCACTGGGTGTCTTTATCAACCACCCAACTGGGAGCACTGGGAGCACTGGGTGTCCTGCTCCAGCACCCAACTGGGAGCACTGGGAGCACTGGGAGCACTGGACATGCTGCTCAACCACCCCGCTGGCAGCGCCGACCGCAGGATCTCTCTCTCCCCAACTGGGAGCACTGGTTCCGTGGACCCTCCCAAACTGGGAGCACTGGACACACCACTGGGGGAGGGGTTTCTGCCCAACCCCCACAAGGGGGTGACCGGTGGAGTTCGGGGGTTCCCCCCCCCCCCCCATTTTATGACAACTTTCTGCTTCTCTCCCCCCTCTCCCCCAAGGTGGGCGCCGCCCCTCCCCCACCCCCACCCCCCCTCCTCGTGCCACGCCCCTCCCCCCCTGTGTGTGCGCGTGCCACTAACACGCTTCCCCCCTCCCCCACCCCGCGGGGCCCCCCCCCACTAACCTCCCACTAATCCTGGGGGGGCCCCCCCCTTTTAACAAAAGCAACCCCAAAAACCTCCCCAAAATAACCCAAAAAAAAACCCTAAAAAAACCCAAAAAAAACCCAAAAAAACCCCCGAAAAACCCAAAAAGAAATCCCTAAAAAAACCCCAAAAAACCCAAAAACAACCCAAAAAAGCCCCCCCAAAACGTCACGTTTGTGTTTTGTCCTTCTCTCGCCGCCAGCACGCAGGGATCGGACACGCTATGGTAAACAAACTGCATTACCTGGTAGTTATCACTCTATTGTTACTCCTTGGCTTCGCCGTGTGGCCCCCGACTCCCAACCTTTTGGGGCCGATCCGGGGGATTTTGGGCAAAAAAAAAACCAAAAAAAAAAGAATTTTCATCCGCCATCTCCGCAGGCCGAGCTTCGGCTGCGCCCCCCTCCCACCGTGGCAAAATAAACGAGAGCTGGTTCTACCTCACCCTCCTCTTCCTCCCATCCCACCAAAAACCCTTCCTGAGGGGGCGGGTGGTGCTCGACGGGGGCAGAACCCGTCTGCCGCCCCGTTTTTGGGGTGAGTTTTAGCGGTTTTAGGCAATTTTCACCCGTCCGCCATCTTGTGGCTGAGTTACGGCTCCCTCGTGCCAAAATGAGCTGATTTTCCACCCAAAAAAATCCTTATCTGGGGTCAGGACGGTGATGTTTTTTCTCAAGAGGGTTCAACTCCCGCTGTTTTGGGGTGAATTTGAGGGATTTAGGGCAATTTTCAGCCGTCCGCCATTTTGTGGCGGAGCATCGCCTCCCCCATGCCAAAAATAGCTGATTTTCCCCCAAAAAAAATCCTTTTTGAGGGTGATTTTCTCAATGAGGGCAGTGTGGAGTCCCTGTTTTGGTGTGAATTAGGGAATTTTTGGGATTTTGGGTGATTGGATAAACACCTGCACATCCCCAATGCCAAAACCGACTGATTTCCACCCAAAAAGTCAGGCCGGGCTCAGAAGTTGTTGATTTTCCCCAAGGGGACGATGTGGGCTCCCACTCCCCCATTTTGGGGTGAATTTTAGAAATTTTGGACAATTTTTCCCCCCTCACACCATCCAGGGCATAGCTGCAGCTCCCTGGTCCCCAAACCCGCCGGTTTCACCCCAAAACCCAGCCCGGGGTGGGCTCCTTTTTTTCTGGAACCTTTTATGGAGTCCCAGACCCAATTTTTGGCGTGATTTTTTGGGATTCGGAGCAATTTGACACCAATCCCACCCCCCGAAACAGCCAAGCCTCAAATTCTCCATAATTTCCCCCAAAAAACCCAGCGTGGTTCAGGGGCAGGATGGAGCCCCCAAACGCCTCATTTTGGGGTGAATTCCTGGGATTTTGGACAATTTGCTCCCATCCTCTCCCTCGTGGCCAAGCACAGCTCCAAAAGCCCCAAAATCACCCCAAAATTTGAGGTTCCCCCCAAAATCCACCTGTCACTCACAGAAGGGCCTTGGGACCCCCACCCCCCTCCCCATTTTGGGGCGATTCCTTTGGATTTTTCCCCATTTTTACCAAAACCAGCCGCTTTCACCCCAAACTCCGCCCCGGGGGATTTAAAATAGGGGGGAATTTGAATGATTTTTTTATTTTTTGGGGGGTGGGTGTCGCCCCCTCCCCAAATCGAGGACGGAAACGGCGTTTTCAGGACAAGCTGCCGCCCCTCCCCCATCCCCGCCCCCTCCCCGCCCCCTCCCCCAATCCCGCGCAGGCAGCGGGGCCGCCCCTCCCCCCCAACAAAGCCCCGCCCACCCGGGCTGGGGGCGGGGCCTCGCTGCCTGAGCCACGCCCCCCGCACGTGCTTGGCCACGCCCCCTGCACGGCCTGACTAACACTGACCCCTCCCCCTCCCCACCTGAGACCCCTCCTCAGCCCCTCCCCCACCCCGCCCCTCCCCCCAACCCACCCAGGGGGGCACCGGGGCCGCCCCCGCCGCGGGGGGAGGGGCTGGGGGGCGTGCGCAGGTGTGCAAAGGTGTGTGGAGGTGTGTGCAGGTGTGTACAGATGCGTGCAGGTGTGTGCAGGTCTGCAAAGGTGTGTACAGGTGTGTGTACAGGTGTGCAAGTGTCACTGGGGGTGTGTGTAGGTGTGCAAGGGTCACACCAGGTGTGTGTGGGTGTGTGTACAGGTGTGTGTGCAGGTGTGTGTGCAGGTGTGTGAGGATCACACCAGGTGTGTGTACAGGTGTGTGTACAGGTGTGTGCAGGTGTGCGTGCTCACACGCGTGTGCAAGAAGCTGCGGGGCTGCCCCTGTCCCCCTCCAGGGTCCCCCCTCGCCCTTGCACGCCCCCCTACCCCCCCTTTGCACGTGCTTGCACACCTGTGCACGCCCCTGGCACACCTGTGCACGCCCCTTTGGCACACCTGTGCACGCCCCTGGCACACCTGTGCATGCCCCCCTGGCACACCTGTGCGCGCTGCCCCCACTAACGACCGCGTTTGTGTCTGAGCTTTCTTCTGCCCCGGGACCCCCAAAACTCGATACTAATCCCCCCTCCCCCCCGTGTCACCCCCCGTGTCACACCTGTGTCACCCCCCGTGTCACACCTGTGTCATCTCCCCCTGTGTCACCTCCGTGTCACCCCCCTCCTCCTCTCATCACCCGCCCCCTTCTCACCTGGGGGGGCTCCTTTCCTTGGGGGTCTCACCTGGAGATCTGGGGGGGCTTCACCCCCTCCTTCCATCCCTTGTGACTCCGCCCTCCCCAATCTCATATCACCCCCCCAGGTGACCCCAAACCCACCCAGGTGACCCCAAACCTCCCCACCCTCACCTTCATTCCCCCATCACCTCCCCAGGTGACCCCAAACCCACCCAGGTGACCCCAAACCCTCCCAAGGTGACCCCCAAACCTCCCCAAGGTGACCCCAAACCCCACCAGGTAACCCCAAACCCCCCACCCCTCACCTTCATCCTTCATCCTCCCTCACCCTTCACCTTCATCCCCCCATCACCAACCCAGGTGACCCAAAACCCCCCCAGGTAACCCCAAACGCTCCCGAGGTGACCCCAAACCTCCCCCCAGGTCACCCTAAACCTCTCCAGGTGACCCCAAATCCCACCCACCCCTCACTCTCATGCTCCCACCCCCCCCCAGGTGACCCCAAACCCCCCCCCAGGTGACCCCAAACCCACCCAGGTGACCCCAAAACCCCCCACCCCTCACCTTCATCCCCCCACCCATCCCACCCATCACCCCCCACCCCTTTCCGCTTTCTCCCCCTTTGTCCCCCGTGTCCCCCCTCCCCAGTTTTGGGGTGCCCCGGCCCGGGGGGGTCCCGGCTGAGTTCGGCCGCTCTCCCCGCCCCCCCCCCAGGTGACCCCAAACCCCCCCATCCCTCACCTTCACCCCCTCATCACCCCCCAGGTGACCCCAAACCCCCTCCAGGTGACCCCAAACCCCCCCACCCCTCACCTTCATCCGCCCATCCATCACCCCCCACCCCTTTCCCATTTGTCCCCCTTTGTCCCCCGTGTCCCCCCTCCCCTCCCATCCCCCCTCCCCAGTTTTGGGGTGCCCCGGCCCGGGGGGGTCCCGGCTGAGCGCGGCCGCTCTCCCCCCCCCCAGGTGACCATTTCCGTGGACGGCATCCTGACCACCACGGGCTACACGCAGGAGGATTTCACCATGCTGGGCTCCGACGACTTCTTCTACGTGGGGGGGTCCCCCAACACCGCCGACCTGCCGGGGTCCCCCGTCAGCAACAACTTCATGGGCTGCCTCAAGGACGTGAGTCTGGGGGCTCGGGACCACCCCCACCGTGTTCACTTGGGGAGGGGTCCCGGTGTTTTGGGGTGAGGGGGGATCGGGTTGGGGAGAGGCGGAGCCCCCCCGACTCACCTGTGTGTGTCCATGGGGGTGGCAGTGACATTTTGGGGTCCCCCAACTCACCTGTATATGTCCCTAGGTGCTGTGGGTCACATTTTGGGGGCATCCATGAGTCCCCCAACTCATCTGTGTGTGTCCCCAGGAGCTGTGGGTCACATTTTGGGGACACCCTCCTCACCTATAGGTGTCCACGGGGGTGGGGGTGACATTTTGGAGACATCCAGGATCCCCCGAACTCACCTGTGTGTGTCCCCAGGAGCTGTAGGTCACATTTTGGGGACATCCACGAGTCCCCTCTCACCTGTGCGTGTCCCCCAAGGGCCGTGGATCACATTTTGGGGACCCCAGACTCACCTGAGTGTGTACCCAGGGGACTCTGGGTCACATTTTAGGGACCCCCGACTCACCTGTATATGTCTCTGGGGGCCATGGGTGATATTTTAGGGACCCCCAACTCACCTGTGCATGTCTCCAGGGGACTCTGGGTCACATTTTAGGGAACCCCCGACTCACCTGCACGTGTCCCCAGGGGTGTTCCAGGCGACACCTCAGTACAGCAGCACCGGGGATGTCAAACACCCCCAAACCCCCCAAACCTCACCTGTCCCCCCCCTTTCCCCAGGTGGTTTACAAGAACAACGACTTCAAGCTGGAGCTGTCGCGGCTGGCGCAGGAAGGGGACGCGCGGGTGACGCTGCACGGGGCGCTGCTCTTCCACTGCGACCCCCCCCCGGCGCTGGACCCCGTCACCTTCGCCACCCCCCAGGCGCACCTGGCGCTGCCCACCTGGCGCCCGGCCCGCGCCGGCTCCGTCTCCTTCGATTTCCGCACCACGGAGCCCAACGGGGTGCTGCTCTTCGGGCAGGGACCCCCCCGCGAACCCCCGGCCCCCCGGGGGCCGCCCCCGCCGCCCCCCGATTTCCTGGCGCTGGAGCTGCTGGACGGGCACCTGTACCTGCTGCTGGGCATGGGCGCGGCCGGGCTGCGGCTCCGCGCCAGCGCCCGCAAGGTCACGGACGGAGAGTGGTGCCACGTGGACGTGCAGCGCGACGGGCGCAAAGGTGAGGGGGGCTCGGGTGTGCAAAGGGTGTGCAGGTGTGCAAAGGGTGTGCAGGTGTGTGGGGAGGGGCGTGCAGGTGTACAAAGGTGTGTGGGGAGGGGTGTGCGTGTGAGAAAAAGGTGTGTGGGGAGGGGCGTGCAGGTGTGCAGAGTGGGGTGTGCAGGTGTGCAAAGGTGTGAAGGGAGGGATGTGTGGATGTGCAAAGGTGTGAAGGGAGAGGTGTGCAGGTGCGTGCAGGGGCTGCTGGGACAGGGTGTCGCCATTATCCTCCCCTTTCCTTTGTAATGCGCCCGCTGTCCCCTGCTGTCCCCCTTGCTGTCCCCTGATGTCTCCTCACTGTCCCCCCACTGTCCCCTCCACTGTTCCCCTACTGTCTCTCACTCTCCCCCTGCTGTCCCCCCACTGTCCCCGCTGTCCCCCCACTCTTCCCCCACTCTCCTCCCGCTGTCCCGATGTCCCCTGATGTCCCCTCACTCTCCCACACTGTCCCCCTCACTCCCTCCGCTGTCCCCTGATGTCCCCTCGTTGTCCCCCACTCTCCCTCTGCTGTCCCCTGATGTCCCCTGATATCCCCTCGCTGTCCCCTGCTGTCCCCCACTGTCCCCACTCCCCTTCCCCTGTCCCCTGGTGTCCCCTCACTCTTACCCCTCTTTCCCCCCCCTCACTCTTCCCACGCTGTCCCTTGCTGTCCCCCCACTCTCCCCTTGTTGTCCCCCGCTGTCCCCCACTGTCCCCCCACTCACCCCTAATTCTCCCCTGCTGCCCCCGCTGTCCCTGACATCCCCGCGTGTCCCCTCGCTGTCCCCCCGCCGTCCCCCGCCGTCCCCCGCCGTCCCCTCTCGCTGTCCCCAGGCTCGGTGTCGGTCAACAGCCGCAGCACGCCCTTCCTGGCCAGCGGGGACCGCGACGTCCTGGACGTGGGGGCCGAGCTGTACCTGGGGGGGCTCCCCGAGGGCCGCGCGGGCCCCCCCCGCGCCCCCCGAGCTCTGGGCCGCGGGGCTGCGCCTCGGCTTCGTGGGCTGCGTGCGGGACCTGTTCGTGGACGGGCGGAGCCGCGACGTGCGGGCGCTGCTGGGCCCGGGGGGGGCTCCGGGGGTCGCCCCGCTCTGCGCCAGGGACCCCCCCCGGCTGTGCGCCAGCGGCCCGTGCCGCAACGGGGGCACCTGCCGCGAGGGCTGGAACCGCTTCGTGTGCGACTGCCGCGGCACCGGGTACCTGGGGCCGCGCTGCGAGACAGGTGAGGGGACACGGGGACAGCGGGGACAGCCGGGGGGACACGTGGGGACAGAGGGGGTGGCACCCCCAAGCACCTGGAGCTGGGGATGGGGAGGGTTGAGGGTGACACAGGACCCCGAGGTGACACGGTGGGGATTGGGGGTACACCTGGAGGGGACATGGGCTACCTGGGGCCGTGCTGCGAGACAGGTGAGGGGCACAGGGACACAGCAGGGACACAGCGGGGACACAGTGGGGACAGCCGGGCGGACACGTGGGGACAGAGGGGGTGGCACCTCCTGAGCACCTGGGTGAGCTGCAGAGGGATTGAGGGGACCCTGAGGTGACACGGTGGGGACTGAGGGGGACATGAGGTACCTGGGACAGTGCTGTGGGACAGGTGAGGGAACACGGGGACACGTGGGGACAGCAGGGACAGCGGGGGTGGCACCTCCTGAGCACCTGGAGCTGGGGATGGGAGGGATTGGGGGTGACACAGGACCCCGAGGTGACAAAGTGGGGACTTAGAGGGACATGAGGTACCTGGGACAGGTGAGGATGGGGAATGGGGGGATTGGGGCACCTGAGTCCCCTCTGGGAGGGCAGGGGAGGGGTCACACCTGGGGAGGAGGTGCCTGGATGTCCCCAGGGCCACCTGAGAGCACCTGAGCCCCCCCCCCGGGACACCTGGGTGACTCCCCCAGAGCTGGGGGTCCCCAGACACCTCCAGTCCCAGGGGGTGGCACCTGGTGGCAATGTCACTTGTCCCCAACACGGTGTGGGGCTCACACAGCACCTGCCTGGGATGGGGCTCTCAGGGGTGCCCTGGGCACACCTGGGGACACTTGGGGACACCTGGGCACACCTGGGCACACCCGGGGATACCTGGGGACACCTGGGCACACCCGGGGATACCTGGGGACACCTGGGGACACCTGGGGACACCTGGGCACACCTGGGGATACCTGGGGACACCTGGGGACACCTGGGCACACCTGGGGACACCTGGGGACACCTGGGCACACCTGGGGACACCCTGGGCACACCCTGGGCACACCTGGGGATACCTGGGCACACCTGGGCACACCAGGGCACACCTGGGCACACCTGGGGATACCTGGGCACACCAGGGCACACCTGGGCACACCTGGGGACACCTGGGCATACCTGGGGACACCCTGGGGACACCCTGGGGACACCTGGGCACACCTGGGCACACCTGGGGACACCTGGGCATACCTGGGGACACCTGGGGACACCTGGGGACACCTGGGCACACCTGGGGATACCTGGGCACACCAGGGCACACCTGGGCACACCTGGGCACACCAGGGCACACCTGGGGATACCTGGGCACACCTGGGGATACCTGGGCACACCTGGGCACACCAGGGCACACCTGGGCACACCTGGGGACACCTGGGCATACCTGGGGACACCCTGGGGACACCCTGGGGACACCTGGGCACACCTGGGCACACCTGGGGATACCTGGGCACACCTGGGCACACCAGGGCACACCTGGGCACACCGGAGGTGGCCGTGCCCAGGGTGACAGACGCGTCCCCGTCCCCGCAGAGGCGGCGGTGCTGAGCTACGACGGCAGCATGTACCTGAAGGTGCAGGTGCCGGGCGAGCAGACCGAGGCCGAGGACGTGTCCCTGCGCTTCATGTCCCCCCGAGCCTTCGGCCTCGTCCTGGCCACCACCTCGCGCCACTCGGCCGACACGCTGCGCCTCGAGCTGGACGGGGGGCGCATGAAGCTCACCCTCAACCTGGGTGAGCCCCCCGAGACCCCGCGGAGACCCCCCGGATGAACCCCGGAACGTCCTCGAAGCATCCCTGAAATGTCCCCAAAATCCTCCCCAAAATGGGGCCCGAGTTGGGTCTGGTCGTGCCAGGAGGGCCAAAATGGTGTCTGGGACCTTAAAATGGTGCTTGGGACCCCAAAATGGTGTCTGGGACCCCAAAATGGTGTCTAGGACCCTAAAATGGTGCTTGGGACCCCAAATGGTGTCTGGGACCCCAAAATAAGGCCTGGGACCCCAAATGGTGTCTAGGACCCTAAAATAGTGGCTGGAACACCAAAATGGTGTCTGAGGCCCCTAAATGGTGTCTAAGACCCCAAAATGGTTCCTGGCACCCTTAAATGGTTCCTGGGACCCCAAAATAGGGTCTGGGACACTAAAATAGGGCCTGGGACCCAAAATGGTGCCCGGGATCCTTAAATGGTTCCTGTGACCCCAAAATGGTTCCTGGCACCCTAAAATGATTCCTGGGGCCCCAAAATGGTTCCTGGGATCCTAAAATGGAGCCTGGGACCCCAAAATATTGTCTGGGACCTTAAAATGACGTCTAGGACCCTAAAATGGTGTCTGGGATCCCCAAAATGGTCAAATTGGTGCCCGAGACACCCCAGTGATGCTCAGGACCCCAAATTGGTTCCCAAGTTGGTTCTTGTGACCCCAGAAATTATTGTTGGGATCCCTAAACATCCCCTAAAGTGCTTTTGGCCCAAAAATGGCCCAAAGTTGGTGCCTGGAACCCCAAAACTTCCCCAAAGGTGCCCAGGACCCAAAAATCGCACCTGTGACCCCCAGACTGGCCCTGATTGTCACCAGAGCCACCTCGGTGTCCCCAATTCCCCCCCTGCGGGATTGGGGCCTTCGTGACCCCCCCCGCTGCCATTTGGGGCACAGCGCCGGGACCCCCCCAAAGGGGCTGAGGGTCCCCCCCAGAGGATTGGGGACCCCAAAGGGTTGGGGACCCCTCCTGCAGCCCCTTGCATTGGGGGGGAACCCCTCGAGGGGCTGCCAGGTCCTCTGTGGGGTGGGGAACCCCCCCATGGGATTGGGGAGCCCCTCCATGGGATTGGGGAACCTCCCGTGGGATTGGGGACCCCCCCCAAAGGGATGCGGACCCCCCCCATGGGATTGGGGACCCCCCCAAGGGGTTTGGAGATCCCCCAAAGGGGTTGGAGATCCCTTAATGGGATTGGGGCCCCCCAAAGGGATTGGGGTCCCCCCATGGGATTTAAGACCCCCCATGGGATTGGAGACCCCCCCCCATGGGATGCGGACCCCCCCCATGGGACTGGGGACCCCCTGAAAGGGTTGCGGACCCCCCCCATGGGATTGGGGACCCTCCCATGGGATTGGGGACCCTCCCATGGGATTGGGCCCCCCCCGGGTCCCGGTGTTTGCCCCCCCCCGCCCCGCAGCGGTTGACGAGGGGGGGCCCAGCCCTGGGTGGGATCCCCCAGATCCCCCCGGATCCCCCCGGGCTGGGCCCTCAGGGCGGCCGGGCCCCCCCCGCGAGGTGCCAGAGACCCCCTAAACCAGTTCATCCCATCCCAGTCCATCCCAGTCCCATCCCAATCCCATCCCAGTCCATCCCAGTCCCATCCCAGTTCCATCCCAGTCCCTCCCAGTCCATCCCAGTCCCATCCCAGTCCCTCCTACCCCATTCCCAGTCCCTCCAGTTCTCCCCAGTTCCTCCCAGTTCTCACCATCCCATTCCCAGTCCCTCCTATCCCGTTCCCAGTCCATCCCAGTTCTCTCCCAGTCCATCCCATCCCATTCCCAGTTCCCTCCCAGTCCATCCCAGTCCCCCCAGTTCCCCTCTCTGGCACCTCGCCCCCCCCCCCCCCGGCCGCCCCCCCCCGTCCCCGGGGCGCCCCCTGGCGGCGGCTGCGAAGGGCCTGACCCGAGTCTTCTCTCCCCAGACTGTGTCCGCGTGGGCTGTCACCCCAGTAAGTGCCACCCCCGCCCCGGGACACCCCGGGACACCCCGGGACACCCCCAAACTCCCTCACCTCCCTGGGGTACCCAGCCCCCAAAAAAACCCATGAACACCCCTAAAACTGCCCCATGAACACCCCCAAAGCTCCCCCAACGCCCCCAAAACTGCCCCAAACACCCCCAAAACTCCCCCAAACCCCGCCGGGGACACCATCTAGGAACACCCCCGGGACACCCCCAAACACCCTCAAAACCCCCAACCTCCCTGGGATACCCGGCCCCCCAAAAAACCCCCATGAATACCCCAAAACCTCCCCATGAACACCCCTAAAAATGCCTCAAACACCCCCAAAACCCCCCAAAAAACCCCTGGGGGACACCGGTATCCTGGTGTCCCCGGTGTCCCCACTGTCCCCAGTATCCCTGGTGTCACTGGTGTCCCCAATGTCCCTGGTGTCCCCGGTGTCCCCGCTCTCCCCGGTGCCACCGGTGTCCCCGGGTGTCCCCAATGTTCCTGGTGTCCCTGGTGTCCCCAATGTCACCGGCTGTCCCCAATGTCCCCAATGTCCCCGGTGTCCCTGATGCCCCCAGTGTCCCTGGTGTCACCGGTTGTCCCCGGTGTCCTGTGTCCCTGGTATTCCTGGTGTCCCAATGTCCCCGGTATCCCAGTATCCCCAATGTCCCCAATCTCCCCAGTGTCTCCGGTGTCCCTGTTGTCACCGCTGTCCCGGTGCCCCCATTGTCCCCAATGTCCCCAATGTCCCTGGCTGTCCCTGGTGTCACTGCTGTCCCTGGTATCACCAGTGTCCCTGGTGTCTCCAATGTCACCAGTTGTCCCGGTGTCACCGCTGTCCCTGGTGTCCCGGTATCCCTGGTATCCCCAGTATCCCCAGTGTCCCTGGTGTCCATAATGTCCCCAGCTGTCCCCAGTGCCCCCATTGTTCCCAGTGTCCCCAATGTCCCCGGCCGTCCCCGGTGTCACCGCTGTCCCGTATCCCTGGTGTCCCCGGTGCCCCCCACTGTCCCCGGTGTCCCCGGTGTCACCGCTGTCCCGTATCCCTGGTGTCCCTGGTGTCCCGGTTGTCCCCAATGTCCCCAGTGTCACCGCTGTCCCCGCTGCCCCCAGGCAAGGGCCCCGAGACGCTGTTCGCGGGGCAGCGGCTGGATGACAACGAGTGGCACTCGGTGCGGGTGGCCCGGCGCGGGCGCAGCCTCCAGCTCGCCGTGGACAACGTCACCGTCGAAGGTGACACCGCGGGGACGGGGCGGGGGCACCTCGGCCTGGGCTCCTGGGGACACCGGGGTGCTCCGGCCCGTGGGGACGTGGTCAGTGGGGGCTGCAGGAACGTGGGACGGGGATGGAGGCCCACGGGGACGTGAAAGTCCATGGGGACAGGGGATGAAGGTCCAGGGGACATGGAACAATGGGGACAGGGATGAAGGTCCATGAGAACCAGAAGGAAGGTCCATGAGGACACTGGTGCTTGGGGACACGGTGACCAGGTCCGTGAGAACATGGATGAAGGTCCTGTGGGACAGGGATGAAGATCCAGGGGACATGGAACAATGGGACAGGGATGAAGGTCCATGAGAACATGGATGAAGGTTCCTGGGGACATTGGTGCTTGAGGACATGGTGGACATTTGGGGACATGGGGACAGGGATGGAAGTGCATGAAAACCAGAATGAAGATCCATGGGACAGGGATGAAGGTCCATGGGACAGGGATCCCTGAGAACATGGATGGAGGTCCATGGGGCTAGGATGAATGTCTGTGGGACAGGGATGAAAGTCTATGGGATGGGGATGAAGGTCACTGGGGACAGGATGAAGGTCCGTGGAACATGGTGACCAGGTCCATGAGAACATGGATAGAGGTCCATGGAGACATCAAACCATGGGGACAGGGATGAAGGTCCATGGGGATATGGATGAAGGTCCATGAGGGAGGAAGGTCCATGGGACAGGCATCCATGGGGATATGGATGAAGGTCCATGAGAACATGGATGAAGATCCATGAGAACATGGATGAGGTTCCTTGGGGACACGGGCGCACAGGGACAAGCTCACCAGCCCTGTGAGGACACCACCCACAGCCTGTAGGTCCACGAGACCAACAGACCCATGGCGTGGTGGCACCCCGCCAGCCCTCACGCTCCCGGTGCCAGCCCCGTGTCCCCCACACCCCCAGGACAGCTGTCGGGCTCCCACACCCGCCTGGAGTTCCACAACATCGAGACCGGCATCGTCACCGAGCGCCGCTTCCTGGCCGTGGTCCCGTCCAACTTCCTGGGCCACCTGAGCGGGCTGGTCTTCAACGGGCTGCCCTACCTGGACCTGTGCCGCGACGGCGACATCAGCTCCTGCGAGCTCAACGCGCGCTTCGGCCGCCGCGCCATCGTGGCCGACCCGGTGGCCTTCGGCGGCCGCGGCTCCTACGTGGCGCTGGCCACGCTCCAGGCCTTCTCCTCCTTCCACCTCTTCTTCCAGTTCAAGACCACGGCGCCCGACGGCCTCATCCTCTTCAACGGCGGCAGCGGCTCCGACTTCCTGGTGGTCGAGCTGGTCAAGGGGTGAGGGGACACCGGGGGGACACCGAGGGGGACACCAAGGGACATTGAGGGGGACGTTCTGGGGAGCTCAGAGAGCTTGGGGACATCACAGTCCTGGTGGGGATCTTGGGGGACACCACAGTGCTTCTGGGGGACCTCAGGGATGTTCCCAGATCTTGGGGACACCTGTGGGGTCTTTGGTGGTCTCAGGGAGCTCAGAGACCACCTGGGGATCCTGGGGACTCTGGGGACATCCTGGGGACCTCCTGGATGCCCTTGGAACCTGGGGACCCTTGGGGACCTTCTGAACCTTTTCAGACCTCGTGACCCCCTCACCCCTCAGGGACCCCCCCCCCCACCCTTAAGCTCCACCCCCATGCACAAGCTCCTCCTCCTGGCTCAGGCCACGCCCATAACGACCGCACCCAACCGTGGCCACACCCCCACCACTGGCCACGCCCCCCGCCCAGTTACACTCCCTGGATTGGGGGATTGGGGGGGGGGGTGTCCTTTGTCCCTTCCTCAGGTGAGAGGCCACGCCCAAACGAGGCCACGCCCCAGCGAGGCCACGCCCCCTTTTCCGCAGGTACATCCACTACGTGTTCGACCTGGGCGAGGGCCCTCGCTCATGAAGGGCAACTCGGAGCAGCCGCTGCACGACGGGCGCTGGCACGAGGTGGCCGTGGCGGCGCGAGGGGGGCACCCTGCACGCGCTGCGCGTGGACGGGAGACCCGTGACCCAGCACGGGCAGGGCGCCCGCGGGCTGCAGCTCAAGGGTGAGACACCGGGGACACCTGAGGGACACCTGGGGACAGGTGGGACGTACCTGGGGACACCTGGGGACAGCTGGGAGAGGGTACAGTGTGTGGGTGTGGGTGTGTGGGTACCCCATGACCCAGCAGGGCAGGGCACCCGCGGGATGCAGCTCAAGGGTGAGACCTGAGGACACAGCTGGGGACAGGTGGGGACACACCTGGGGATCACTTGAGACACACCTGGGACAGACCTGAGGTACCTGGGACACATTTGGAGCGCCTGGGATCACTTGGGACATACCTGGGACATACCTGGGATTACCTGGGACACATCTGGGCCACCTGGGACACACCTGGGACATACCTGGGACACACCTGGGACACACCTAGGACACACCTGGGACATACCTGGGATCACCTGGGACACACCTGGGACACACCTGGGACACACCTGGGACATACCTGGGACACATCTGGGACACACCTGGGACACACCTGGGACACACCTGGGACACACCTAGGACACACCTGGGACATACCTGGGATCACCTGGGACACACCTGGGACACACCTGGGACACACCTAGGACACACCTGGGACATACCTGGGATTACCTGGGACACATCTGGGGCACCTGGGACACACCTGGGACATACCTGGGATTACCTGGGATTACCTGGGACACACTTGGGACACACGTGGGGCACACCTGGGTGACACCTGGGGGAGGGCAGAGGTGCGGGGATGGTCCCAAGGTAGATGGGAGGGGTCACCCCACAGCAGGGTGTCCCCTCACCCCCTGAGTGCCCCCCAGGTGTGTCCCAGGTGCACCTGGACATCAGGTGAGGGCTGAGGGACAATGAGATATGAAGGGCGGGCTCTCCCATGGGTGACCCCCACGATCCGGGGGGGCTGTCCCGAGGTGCACAGAGCGCTCAGCGCCCCCCAGGTGACCCCGCCGTGCCCCCCCCAGGTGAGCTGTACGTCGGGGGGGTCAGCCCGGGGCTCCTGGGGCGCCTCCCGCGCCTCGTGGCCTCCCGGGGCGGCTTCCGGGGCTGCCTGGCCTCGCTGGACCTCAACGGGCGCCTGCCCGACCTGCTGGGGGACGCCCTGAGACGCGTGGGGGACGTGAGGAGGGGCTGCGACGGTGAGAAATGGGGAGGGGGCACGGGTGGGCACAGGGCTGGGGCTTTGGGACCTGGGGGATGTGAGGAGGGGGCTGCGACGGTGAGAAATGGGGAGGGGGCACAAGGGTTGAGGGGTCTGGGGGCTGCAGAGTGGGGGGGATATGGGAGGGGGGGCTGGGATGGTGAGAAATGGGGAGGGGGCAAAGGGGCTGGGGGCTTTGGGACATGGGAGATGTGAGGAGGGGGCTGCGATGGTGAGAAATGGGAGGGGGGCACAAGGGTTGAGGGGTCTGGGGGCTTTGGGATATGGGGGAATGTGAGGAGGGGCTGCGACGGTGAGAAATGGGGGGTACTGGGTGGGTCTGGGGGCTGCAGAGTGGGGGGAATGTGAGGGGGGCTGGAATGGTGAGAATTGGGGGGCACAGGGTGGGCTGGGGGGGGTACAGGGATATAGGCGGGGCAGAGGGGTCTGGGGGTGTCTGGGACATTTTTTTGGGGGTGTCCGGGACTTTTCCAAAGGTTTGGGGAGGGGGGCGCACAGGTGGGCCAGGGGGCTCGGGGTGGGGTGACAATGAGGCGTCCACGGGGGATTTGAGGAACCGGGGGGCACACAAAGATGGGATGGAAGGGGATTTAGCACCACAAAACCCCATTGGGAGCCCCCCTCGGGTTTGGGGGAGCCGGGGGGGGGGGTCCCCACGATCCCGGGGGGGTCCCCACGAGCGCGGTGCCCCCCAGGCCCCAGCACGACGTGCGCCGAGGACTCGTGTGCCCACGGGGGCGTCTGCCTGCAGCAGTGGGACGGCTTCACCTGCGACTGCAGCATGACGGCCTTCGGGGGGGCCGGCTGTGCCGAGCGTGAGTGGGGGGCCAGGGGGGGCTTGGGGGGCTCGGGGGGGGTCGTAGGAACATGGGGAGTGGCTGTGCCAAGTTTGAGTGGGGGTCTCTGAGGGGTTTGAGGGGTTTGAGGGGGTCGGAGAACTTGGGGAGTGGCTGTGCCGAGCGTGAGTGGGGGCCAGGGAGGATTTGGGGGGCTCGGAGGAACTCGGGGGGATCAGGGCAGTGGCTGTGCTGAGTGTGAGTCGGGGGCAGGGGGTTTGAGGGGGTTTGGGGGGCTCGGGGGTTTTGGGGTGCTCGGGGGAGTGGCTGTGCCGAGCGTGAGTGGGGGGCCAGGAGAGTTTGGGGGCTCAGGGTCTTGGGGGGGTTTGGGGGGCAGTTGTGTCAACTTTGAGTAGGGGGCTCTGGGGGGTTTGGGGGTATTGGGGAGTTCAGGAAGGCTTGGGGGGCTCAGAGGAGCAGCTGTGCCAAGTTTGAGTGGGGGGCTCTGGGGGGCTCAGGGGATTTGGGGGCACAGAGGGAATTTAGGAGGCTCAGGAATTTTGAGGGGGCTCACAGAGGCAGCTGTGCCCAGTTTGAGTGGGGGGCACGAGGTGATTTAGGGGGCACAGAGGGAATTTGGGGGCACAGAGGAGATTTGGGGCAGCTGTGCCCAGTCTGAGTGGGGGGCACGAGGTGATTTGGGGGCACAGAGTGGCACGGGTGGCTCAGGGGGACACACAAGGAGCTCAGGGGTCCCAGGGTGGGTGGGGGACACCCCACACCGGGGGGACACCCCCGTCCCCTACGCCGGGGGGACCCCAGGACCCCCCAGGAGCGAGCAGGGGGGGCACAGGTGGCCTTTGTCCCCTCGCTGTGTGACCCTGGCACGGGACAAGTGTCCCCCAAACGGGACAAGTGTCCCTGGCTGAGGTGGCTCCGTCCCTTCCTGGTGCCGCCATGGTGGCCCTTAAGGAGGGCAGGTGGCCCCGCGGGTGTCACCTGTGCCACCTGTGCCACCCCTGTGCCACCTGTGCCTGGCACGAGGGCTCCGTGTCCCCCCAGGGCTGTCACACAGGGACACGAGGGACACGAGGGACACACGTGTCCCTGCCCCGGGGTGGCTCTGTCCCCTAACGAGGGACAGTGACAGCACGTGCGACACCTGTGTCCCTCACGGGGCGGGGGGTCGGGTCAGGACCCCCCATGCCCCCGCATATCCAAGTTTCCCCATGTCCAGGTGTGCCCCCATGTCCCCCCGTGTCCCCCTCACGTCCCAATGTCCCCCTTTGTCCCCTGTCCCCCTTTGTCCCCCTCCTCCAGGTGAGTCCCAGGCAGCTCCACCCTCTGCCCCACACCTGGCTGGGGGTCCCGGGGGGGCTTTGGGGCCGCTCTATGGGCCGGACCCGATCCCGGTGTCCCCGTGGGGCTGTGGGGACACGGACACGGGTGGGGGTGGCACTGCCGTGGGTC